GTACCCAAAATAGGCTCCCCAGGTGGATTTTATCACTCCCACTCGATTTATTTCATCAAAATAATAAGGGCCCAGGAACAACCTAGCACCCTCTAACCTACCTTTTTCATATCAGATCGGTATAATAATTCAAAATTTCTTGCATTTTTTGTTCTTAATTTTGTTAAAAATCGCGCTTTTGTATGAGAGTTTCAAATCACTCCTTCGCTCATTCATGTTGTTCTATGGATTCGAAGGGCTGCCATATAATAAATCCAATGTAAAAGAAAGACGATCATAATTTTGGTCAAGAAAAATGTGGTTATTTTAAATGGTATTTTTTTCAACTCGTCACATTTTGTTCCAATTTTTTCAGTATTCAGACGACAATAAAGACAATCAGACGTTTTATTTGATTTGAATACCCAACATCAAGATTTCCGGAATCATAATAGAATTTTCCATAAAATACATGAACGTACTGTTGTTCTTTTCTGAAAATTCTTATAAATTTCCTAGGCAAAATCTGAATAAAAGCTGAACGTTCTGAAAACGGTGCGGAAAAATTCGTCTTACGGAGGAGGACTATTTATTATTGTTTAAACTTGTTAACCAAACCGTTTTAAAATTAAATTCATTCTTTAATGAACCTTTGGAGAAACCAACCATATTTCATTTTTGAGTCAAATTATCTGAGTATTCCAATTTAGGTATATTCACAATTCTTCATGTATTTTTCTAGTTTTTTCACATCTATATTGGGAGTGTGAATTCTTAATTAAGAATCTTAATTAAGAATCAGTTACATATTTAGACATCTGCATCTGTGTAATGAACAAGCGAGAATTTACACAAGGAAACTTAATTGTACGTTCACTGAGTTCGAAAATAAATTACTTTTAGAAAAATTTGTTACTCATGTGGTTTTCATGCGCAATTTCCTTTGCGTCAATACGAGTTCATTTACATATACAAACATTTGCACCTGTCAAATTAACAAAACGCGAGAATTGACGCACCAAGCTCAAATTAAAAACATTTTTTCAAATAATTTGTTTTCTAATTCAGTCATAAGAAATTCTGTTTTGCTGTACGTGTCATAATGATGATAAGTTTGCAACATCTAATTTTTGACTATAAATGAGGCACCAAAATCGTGGAAATTTAGTTATTGTTCAAGTGATTTGACTATAAACATGTCTAAGCAATTGATGGGTGAGTTTACTCTTCTAAGTTCTTTTTTCCTTCATTTTTTTCTAATTTTCATTTTTGACAATACTTGAGATTTCAGTCACTCATTGTGTTTTAATCAATATTTTCTCTCCGTTTAGTTTGTTTGGTTCTGGTTGCGGTTTTGGGAGACCAATTCATGGTAACTTACAACTTTTTCTGTATTTTTTTTTTTTCATCGGGTCGATCGATGACATGAAGAGCTTTTTTTTCATTTTCCATACAAATTGACTTTTGGAAAACGAAGAAAGTAATCGAAACAAAATTATACCTTATGAAGAGGACATTTCATTCGACCTCAAAATATGCTTAAAAATGCATATATGTTCGTTTTTATTTTACATTTTTCACGAAACTGATACGAGATCTTCAGTGTACAACACGGTTCTTTACCCGACATTTTATTTCTACAAATGGTTTTTTTTCTTTCAAAAATCCATTAATTTTACATGTCGATTCATTCAATTTGGTTATTCCAAACTAATTATCCTTTATTCGTTTCTAATTTTCAACTTGAAGCAAACTGAGGGTGGGCCTGGGAACGTGCCTACCAAAGCGATGGGAGCAGTGGGACAAGGTAAGATTGAAGCTCCATTTCTTTTTTTAAGTTTCGTTCTCACTATTCCAATATGTCAAATGAAAAGAGATAGCTATATAGTTCACTATAGATTATTATACATTGTTGACATTTATTTCACAACAAGAAATCGAAAAGATTGTGGTGATTTTTGGTACTAAATATATTTCTAACTTTTTTTTCACTACAAAGTCAAAAAAGATTTGTGATGCTCTAGCGGCAAAAATAAATTTAGTACCGAGAATCACCACAAACTTTTTGAATACTTGTTGTGAAATAAATGTCAACACAAACATCTTGACATAACCCTACATCAGTTTTTTCAGAATATATAGCTATACCTTTTCCGCTCATTCATCATCGATATTTTTCCGCGAAACTTTTCTGTATTACATTTTCGCTCCACACTACTGATATGAAACACTATGTGAGTGGTTTAGAGCGAAAATGTAATACAAAAAAGTTGCGCGGAAAAATATCAGATGAAATAGAAAAACTATTTCGTATCAAATAGAGAAGCTATTTGGTGTCAAATAGAGGAGCTATTTGGTGTCAAATGGGAAAATTTCACATTATTATCAGAGTAATAGGTTTCCACTTCGAATTTTAAGCTAAAAGTCCAAACGATATGTGTTGTTGTGTTAAACGCATTTTTTATTTCAAAAGTTCAAAAGGATAAAGTAGAACAAAATAGCATGTTGCAAAAGTGCCTCACTGTCATTTTGTATGAAAATTCTACAAAACGATTTGAGCGCTGTTCGTATGATTACATGACGGCTTTCATTTGAACTAATGTGAGGTACATTTCAAAAGTAAATTGCAACATGCTATTTATGAATATTATAAATAGTACCGCTAAACATTGACTCTAGATTAACGGTTATCCTGCATCGCATATAAGGGTACAAATCATGCCTTCTTTGACCATAACGTATATTATTGTTGCTATATTGCATTTTATTTTATTTTTATTTTTGGCTTCACAACCATTGTGTGTGTCGTTCGTTTGGTAGCTCTCGAGCCAGAATTCTTGGAATTTTACAGCCGGTGCGGATGCTATCCCACAATAAAATTTACTGTTAACTTAGCAGTCACTGTAACTTAACAGTGAAGTGTCACCGTCACAGTGAGCATGCGAACAAGTACTACGCATACATAACACGCACGCCCAATGTCTTACTCCGTGTATATATGAATGCGTTATACTCGTTCGAATGCTCACTGTGACGGTGACACTTCACTGTTAAGTTACAATGACTGCTAGGTTAACAGTAAATTTTATTGTGGTATATCCAGTCGGGGAAATTCCAAGTAATACAAATTATTTGAAAACAGAATTCAGTTTACTGATATATTTTGTTCAATACAGTCGATGTTAGTGGGTTCTCGTTAAATTTGATTTAATTAGTAAATTTATAAAGAGTAAAACAGAAACAAATGATAAAGAATAAAAACTAGTGCTTGAAAACAGTGTCACTGTTAAAAATGGAAAATTCTAGTGCAAATGATTTTTCTGGACCGAGTGAAGCATAGGTAACCAAAACTACGCGCCTGTCACTCGATTGTGACTGCTGTCACGTAGTACTTTAGTCGAGGTGATGCGCACTGAGTACACAAATTTTCGATTACAACAAAATTGTTGTTTTATTAGCTAATTTTAATGTGTGTTTTTTAAAATATTTTTTTCATACGGCTAGTGCGAAAGCATTTATTGTCCTACTTAACGCGAGCGCCATCTGTTCAGTTTGAACATGAAAACAAATTGATTCATACAGAGTTATAATACAACAACATCTCTATATAGAGGAAACGCTGTGGTTCGTTTTGTTCGACATATTTTTTATACACTGCCTTCATTTCCACCGATTCGTATATCGGTTGGCAGCTGGAGTCACTTTGTTTGTTTTCATGTTCGCACCGAATAGATGGCGTTTGCGTTAGGGAGAGCAATAAATGCTTTTGCACTAAAGGTATAATTTTTTTACTAGCAGATTGTAAAATCTATGACAATTACACTCATTTATATGCGGTTTGAAATCAACAATAAAACATTTATTATCCTCATGACATCCCCATGTAAACCCATACACAGTTTCTTATAATACTGCTTCTTCTTCTTCACACTGTCGTACACAATGGGCGCGGCCATATTGAAAATGTATACAGTGTATTGAGTGCCATTTGTGAACATTTTAACGAATATGGCGACTTACATGTATAGATGTGTTAGTTAAGAAGAAGAAGCAGTCACACTACACCGTTCGCATACGGACGCCTCATGAGGAGATTCACGAACGCTCGCACTCGCAACACTCACATAAAACTCGCAAAACTCGGGCAAACCGAATAATGCCCGAAAAGTTGAATTTTACTTAGAAAAAAAAACACATGAATATGATTTTGTAAGCATTCACAGCTGATTT